AGATCCGCTCCATGACTTTTACCCTCACACCTGTGCCTGCCTTCTGTTCCTTGGCGTGGAGAACGAGTGTGCCTGGAACTGAGGGTTGTGTGTGTGGACAGGAGTCAGGGTGACTGTCAGGGAGAATTTCTTGTTTAAATGCCACTCCAAGGTATCTCCACTGGCGGGGAGAAGCCGCTTGTTTAGTGTGCAAGAGGAGCAGTTAAAAGCACCGCTAGTGTCCAGTCGGTTGCTGGTCAGGTGAGCTGCTTAGAATCTCTTTGCAGCTGTAAATTGGCAGCATTGTCTGAGCCAGCTCCGCCAGTTCCTCTGAGTACTTACATGTCTGACTGCGTGTCTCTTCCACAGTGTTTGTGTGAAGAACAGGTTTTGATTAGGGGATCCTCTCTTGCTGGGTAGACAGTGAAAGCAACAGCTGCAGAGCTGCTTCAGTAATCTGCCTAGAGCATAGGGCAGCATTGCCTTTGCACTGTAGACCTTCCTAGAAGACAGTTGCTCTTTCCCCGGCTGGGTTTGTGTGCAAGGCTGTCTTTTCCTTAGCCTACCACAAGGGGGCCAGGTGTTATTAATATTAATATAGGCCAGCTGCTGTACCTGGCTCTTTACAGGGAGGTAAGACAAGCTCCTTGCCCTGAGGCAGCTCCCTTCCTGTCTTGTTCACTGTCCACTCTGCTGTGGATTTTCAAAGGATCCTAAGGCACTAAGGTGCCTAAATCCCATGGGAGTTCAATGGGAGTTGGGGGCTTTTTGTCCTAACCTGTGATTTTTAACTGCCATTGACATGGTGGCAAGTAGATGGATCAGGAAAGAGAGTGGAATGAATCTAGGAGCCATATTTCCCAGACTGAGAGGCAAATGCTTTGTGTGCTCTTACATTCATTCAAAACAATTCATTAGGCTTTTTACTGTTACTTAACTGGCATTTGTGTGCTTTTATATAGATCAAATATTGTCCCACTGTTACCCTTCCAGAAGTCTTTGCTTGATATTGTGTAATTGAACAGCAAGCTAGAATAGACAGGGCTTAGTATTTATAAGATAGCATGCAAGCTTCTAACATGCCTTCTGCAATCTTTCTTGCATAGGTGGAGGAGTTATTTGAAACCACCAGTGAGGAGGAGTTGGGCTCCGAGGAAGATGGAAGTCATAACTCTGTCATTGATGTTGAAGATCTGGGGAAAATGATGGGTCACATGAAGAAGGCCAAGGTACCACTATTAAAGCACGCTTAGAATCTGGAGTTTTCTTATCACTAAGGTAGTGAGTTGATTGATTGCGCTTGTTAGCATGAAGTTTTGATTAACTTGTCTTTCCTGACGAGGAGAAAGTCTTTCAAGAATTTAAAAGACTTTGAGAATTAGCTCTTTGCACTGCCCCTGCCTTGTAGCTGTATAGGCAACTTACAAACAAAGCAGTAAGGTTAGTTGGCTGCCATTTAAGGACGCAAAAAATGTGACTTGAAATATTTGGCAGTAAGTTAAAGGTGCTCTTTTAGCAATAGTCTTACTTAAAAGTTACATGAGTACAATAAAGAGCACTGATGCCTGGAAAATGTGGATTGAAAAGTGCCCAGTGTACAGTTCTAAGCATTGATCTTTCCTTTTTAGAACTATTTTCTAATTGGGGTTCGACAATAAGGTTGGCTCAGTGTCATGGTGCAATTTTAGATGGACAAGCCAATGGCGAATGACACGCCTTTATGGGGGCTGTGGCATGACTGTACCTTCAGACAGCTGAATGCTTTTGAGTAACCAGGAGGCTTTCCCCTGAAAGGACCAGGAAGTTGGGTCAGTCCGTCATGTTCAGGTGGCCCAACCCTGCTACACCTGCCCCTGGTGTTGGATTTAAGAAGAGGATCTCCCTGCAGAAGGCAGGCCGGAATCCCCTGGCAAGGGAGGAGAGTCCAGAAGTTGAGTGCTGGCTGGGGAAGGAGTGGACAGGCTGCTCCTAAATGAGAGAAGAACCTGGGCATGAGCTAGGAACTGCCTGTCCCTTGGTAAGAAGGTAGATCTGACCTGGATGGTTGCAGTGATTGGATCTGGAAGTGAGATGGTGAGACAGGCTGTTGCTGCTGGAAGCCTGCCTGTAAAGAAGGGTCTGAAGAGTCGAGGAGACTTTCTTTTCTCTTGGTGTTGCATTGGACTTAGACTAGGGACTCTGCAAAGGACTGAATGCTTAAAGGGGCTTGGCTGGAGTTTCACATCTCTTGTCTGGCAAGAATAGGCCAAAGAGTGTTAAACTCAGGTGCAAGCACTGCAGCATCTGGTCTTGCAAGGGGGCACTTGGGGAGCGTGAGCTATGTCCGTGTTGTCACAAAAGCGCTTGCTAGCATGAAGTTTTTAACTTGTCTTTCCTGACGAGGAGAAAGTCTTTCAAGAATTTAAAAGACTCTGGGAATTAGCTCTTTGCACTGGAACTGCCACTTGCGACATATCTGACTTATTTGTAGAATAGTGTCTCTAGAGGTGACTGCAGCATAAGTGACTAATAAAAAAAGAAAGGTTTGAAATGCAGTGGGGCGAGAACAAGGCCTGAAACGTGTCTGGAAATACAGGTGCATGCACAAGTACTGACTCTGCTTTGGATTTGTTTGTTGGAAGAAAGTCTTGTTCCTGAACGAATGGGAGATGCCCTCACAAGTTAATGCAAAGCAGTTGTTTTTGCCAAGTGCAAAGAGGAATTTTTTACTACAGAACTAGGCCTGAGATTCAGGGGCTTTTTCTCTGAACTCATACTGCCTCATTAACTTTCATGGGGCAAGATGGCGATCTGTGTCTGAATAGCTACCTTTCCTCAGTGTAGGGTCCCCTGAGTTTGTCTTCATTAGAGGAAACTTTTCCTCTTACACGTCGATGAACTTCTAGATCTCACTCTGATCCTCTTTGCAATAGGGTACAGTCCTCCTTTCACTTCGCAGTCACATTTATTCACCACTAGAGGTCACTGGAGAAAAGAAAATGAGATTCTTTGTGTATGCAGTGTAGGTGTAGTTGTAGCTGAGGAGGTCCCAGGATACAGTAAGATAAAGTGGGTCTTTTATTAGACCAGCTTTTGTGGGTTAGACAAACTTTTGAGCCACCCTGAAGTCTTCTCTAGATCTAAAGCTCCAAAGATGGTGTTTTTCATTGACAGAAGTTGATCCAATAAAAGACTGTTTTTGGTAACCTTCATTTTGACATGATGCAAATACACTAAAGGGGGCAAATTATTTTTGCAACCATTTTTATAAGCAATTAGACTTCAGGGTTTCACTGATTAATATAATCTGTCAACAGCACAAGGAATGTGCCATGTAAAATAAAAATATGCACAATCTACTGTCTAGTGAAGGGGTGGGGAACCTTTTTTGGATCTGGGGCTGCTGGCCCACAGAAAAATCAGTAAGAGGCCGCACGCAAGTGAGAAGCAAAAACAAAAAAAACAACTCTAGAATCATAGAGTTGGAAGAGACCTCCAACTCGAGAATCATAGAGTTGGAAGAGACCTCAGGAGATCATCAAGTCAGCCCCCTGCCCAAGGCAGGATGAACCCCAACTAAATCAACCCGGCCAGGGCTTTGTCAAGCCAAGACATAAAAACCTCTAGGGATGGAGATTCCACCACCTCCCTAGGTAACCCATTCCAGTACTTCCCCACCCTCCTAGGGAAATAGTTTTTCCTAATGTCCAACCCAGACCTCCCCCACTGTAACTTAAGAACATTGCTCCTTGTTCTGCCATCCATCACTATTGATGGATGCCTCTCTCCATCCTCTTTGGAACCTCCCTGCAGGAAGTTGAAGGCTGCTATCAAATCCCCCCTCACTCTTCTCTTTTGCAAACTAAACAAACCCAAATCCCTCAGTCTCTCCTCATAGGTCATGCGCTCCAGCCCCCAAAACATTTTGGTCACCCTCCGCTTGACCCTCTCCAATGTGTCCACATCCTTTCTATAGTGGGGGGCCCAGAACTGGACACAATATTCCAGATGTGGCCTCACCAGAGCCGAATAAAGGGGAATAATCACTTCTCTGGATCTGCTGGCAATGCTCCTCCTAATGCACCCTAATATGCCATTAGCCTTCTTGGCTACAAGGGCGCACTGTTGACTCATATCCACTGTAATCCCCAGGTCCTTTTCTGCAGAACTGCTATTTAGCCAGTCGGTCTCCAGCCTGTAACAGTGTTTGGGATTTTTGGGCCCAATCCTCTAATCTGTCCAGGTCACTCTGGACCTATCCCCACCCTCCAGCATATCTACCTCTCCCCCTAGCTTAGTGTCATCTGCGAATTTGCTGAGGGTGCAATCCATCCCCTCATCCAAGTCATTATGTAGAACAAAACCAATCCTTGGGGCTCTCCGCTAGAAACCGACCGCCAACCTGACATCAAGCCCTTGATCACTACATAACCCTCACTTATGTGGCCCCCGACTGAGAAGGAGAAAGATACTTCTCGCATTCCCCTCGCACTCTAGAGCCTAAGGGGGTTCTGTCTAGTAGATTTTGCGTGCTCCAGCCCCGTCCAGCAGCAGCACAAACTCCCCAATTCTTGTGGGACCTCAGGGGCTGGATCCACACAGATCCCCTGGGGTTTAGGTTCCCTGCCCTGGTCTAGTGTGTGAAGAAATAAATGACCACAGCAGTGACCTACAACCATTTGCTAACTTTTTGTGATCACTTCCCTGGTAGGTACCAATGTCAGAATTTCTGTATCTCTTCTGGAAAGGCAACAAAAATTATCTGTTGCTTGACACTTTGCCTTTCTAGGACCAGAGATGAAATTTTCTGTTTCTACCTCTCATCCTCCCCCTATGCACGGGATTCCGTGGCTGCCCCGCTGCTGGGGCGGGGCTCCCTGGGGACAGGGCTCACCAGTCCAGATGGTGGGGCTCTCCTGCGCTGGGGTCCTGACTGCCTTGCACTCCTGGGCACTGGAGCGCTCTGGTCTAGCAACATCCATGGTCCACGGATGCTGTTGGACCGGGAAGTCCTGGATTTAGGAGGTTCAACCTGTATTTAAAGTCACAGGGCTTGATTCTGATTTCACGCTGACTCCATCACAATCAATGGAATTCTATCGCTTTGACTTAAAATGGGACGAGTGAGAGTAGAAAGGGGCCTAAAAATCTATGTATAGACTGCAGTGTTGTATCTTGGCTTCAGATTTTTCTTTTACAGTGCTGATCTATAAGTATTTCCGACGTTAGTGTCTGACGTCAAATTCCAAAAGCTAGGGATGAACGCTTGCACATTCCTTTGTGTAGGGGGCAGTAAGAAATAATTTTTGAAAACTTTTAGGACCTATTTTTAATTCCTTGTGTGGGTGTGTATTGTCACTTGCAAGGATTGGTGGCAGAGTTTTGAATGCATGGGCTGTCTAACCATTAATCCTTGTTGCCTTGATTTTAATGCAGTGGCCACAAGAGTGAGGTTATGATAGCAGCATCTTAATAGTGAATGTTTGTTCAGCTCTCTGCAGTTAGTATTCATTTAATTTTGCTGAATGAAATTCCATCACCTATTACATGACTTGCCTGAGAAATCTAGAACTAGATGTTTTGTTTTATATATTGCCTTTCGCACTGCAAGTTTTAGGATTATACAAAAGAGGGGATTTAATGTAGGCAGCAGGATAATGGTAGATAAGACGTAGAATTATGGATGCAGTAGCACAACGATGAGGACAAAAAGTCCTAAACAGCAATTGAACATGGACCGAAAAGACTTCCAGTTGAACATGTCTGCCCCTTCTCGCTGTGCTATATGAATGAATGAGGTTCACATTTCAGATTCTTCTGCACATCAGTATCAAATCTTCAGTGTTTATTTTTCTTACTGTAAATGGCTGCACCTGTAGGATTGTTTCACAATTCAACCATTGGCATAGTAAGTCATTATATGCAGAGAATAGCCAGAGTATACAAAAATGATGCAGGTATACAAAATGATGCATAGTATAGATGTAAAACATACATGCCTGCTCACCTTTTCTCATAATGCAAAAAAAAACAACACAAAAAACCAAAAAAAACCTGATAAAAGGAAATACTATATTTATATGACTGTTGAGGGGTTGCTTGCCTCTCGGTAACCCAGACTGGATTACAGCCCCCTTCGGACAGGGCTGCCCTTAGTTTCACCCAGATGCCCCTCTTTTAGGGCATATATGGCCTTATAGGCCCAATTCCCCCAAAGTACAAGTCCCTCTATTCAGGTATATACGGCCCT